CTCTTCTCTTGCTCTGATATTTTGTTTCATATTCACATTCTGCTACATGTGAATACAAAGGTCATTCATATGGCACTGGCATATGGTTAGGGACGTATGTGACGTTACAATGCAATGGTCTCTCTTTGAAGTTGGTTAGAAAGCCAGGCGCGATCTGCTGACGATGTTGCTGGCGACTTCTGCCTAGGAATAACAATGCATGTCCAGCTTTCTAGTTTTTTTCTGAGCTTTACCGCCCACTATATTCAAACAGAAAGATACGAATGAACATCTCTCCGTCCATCACATGCATCCTTTTCCCAACATCTAGTTTGGAAAGGCAGGTTGCGCTGAGTTGCAACTCTTGGTATCTCTTGCTTCTTTAGTCCTGTAATTCGGCAATCTCTCTGTGTGCATTATACGGAGAAATCAATACGAGCCACTGTGGTTGGTGTCACTTTGTGAGTAATCTCGACCCTAAGACATCTAGTTTTGTGCTCACCCAAGCTCAAATAAACAGGCAGGCATTAAGTTTCCTAACAGCCACTGGCATACTTTGATTTTTTGCCTTTTGAAGGGAAGGAGAACTGTTTCTTCTATCTGAAAAATATTTTATAGACTATATGGATGAAGAGGTTGGCAGGTGAGAGAAAGTGGCTTCTTTTCTTCAACATCCTTGCTTGTTGTTGGGCTGGTTGGGTGGCATTCCAGGTGTCATCCGGAGCAGCGCCTTCCTTCTTCATGATGCTAGCCAGATGCCTTCAAGGCAAGTAACTGGGGCTTGGTTGGAGATCTGATAGGTGCTGAGCTTCCTCTGGTCCATAGTGGGGCTGAGAAGATGTGTTGGTCCCAGGTGTCATGCATGCCTAGCCTTTTGGCTTGGTCACCAGTAGGAGCGACTTGCAGTTTCTCAGGTCACTCCTGACACGACAAACAAACAAAAAAAAGCAGTAGGATATGTGTTGAGTATCATTAGAGACAAAGTTGAAATACTTTGGCCACATTATGAGGAGACAGCAAAGCCTGGAGAAGACGATTATGCTGGGGAAGGTGGAAGGTAAAAGGAAGAGGGGCCGACCAAGGGCAAGATGGACGGATGGCATCCTTGAAGTGACTGGACTGACCTTGAAGGAGCTGGGGGTGGTGACGGCCGACAGGGAGCTCTGGCGTGGGCTGGTCCATGAGGTCACGAAGAGTCAGAGACGACTGAACGAATGAACAACAACAACATCACTTATCCAGAATCCGGAAATATCTCAAAATCTAAAATTGTCCGCCAGTATTCAAATTTTGGCATATTGGATATGCATGCCAAATTTGGTGCAGATCCATCATTGTTTGCGTTCTCAGTGCTCTCTGGACCTAGGTGAACTATAATTCCTATAAATTAAGGTGTATTTTCCCTTAAGCCCTCCTGTATTTCTTGTTGGTCATGGGGGTTCTCTGTGCCAGGTTAGGTCCAGGGCCATTGTTGCTGGGGTCCAGAGTGTTCTTTGATTGCAGTGAACTATAAATCCCATTGTTTACAATGGCTATAAATCAAGGTGAATTCCCCCCAAACTTCTCTAGTATTTTTCTTTGGTCATTGGGGTTCTGTGTGCCAAATGTGGTGCAGGTCCATTGTCAGTGGGGGTCACTCTGACTTGATGCAGGATAAACTACAACTTCCATCATGTGGAGTCAATTTCCCAAACCCCTCCAGTATATTTAGTTGCTGATTAGTTATGCTCTGTTGTGCAGACAGAGTTGAAAAGTGTAGAAAGGGGTTAAGGGAGAGGCAGTAGGTGGGGTCATGCAAATTCCATACCCATGGAAAGAGAAAGGACCCTGGGATATCCATTCTGGAGGAAAAACAGAACATCTAGGATGAAATTGTCCCTGAATGAAATCCTTCACTTGGGTGGTGGGCAGTATGGTGTTTGGGGAGGACATTGGCAGGGGTTGGAAGACATGTTCATGACGTCCACTACAACCTGCAATGTCCTTGGCCGGGAGTACTTTGGTGGCTCCCCAGCACAGTGGGTTAAAGCTGTTTGTGGAGGCGGGAAGCTGTCTGTGTGAGTGGACATCACCACCACATACACACATACACATTTCCACTTTTATTACACATTTCCATTATTATTATGTGTAAAGAAGATGACTGGGTGTTCTTAATGTGAGAAATCCTGATAGGTGTACAGTCAGCATTGTCTTTGTGGGAGCTATAGTGCTGGTTGATAGTGAGAATGGTTTTCTTTGGCGGTTAAGGCTCAGACATATAAGTCACCAAAAGTTTCTTTTCAGGTTCTGCCATTGGTATTTTTATACAGACAGAGTTTGGATGCAGCTTGTCCAAAGGAATAGTTTCCTACTACTTGTCCCTCAATCTCCATGACAAAGTTGGTGTCACTGGTGGTAAGATCTTAACAGGTTCTGGGTGTGTTAGTCTAGCATTAGTGGATTGGTGCCTGTCTCAAGATCCTGAGAAGATTTCCCAGTGACAGTTACCACACTTTATAGCTCCTTTAAAAGGGGAATCTGGAAACTGCCTCTTCAATTAACCACAATCTCATCAGATTGATAGTATCTGTGGTGTACTGTATGTAATTAAAGGCTTGGCTCCCACACTGAGTTGACATATGTGCTGAGTTGACATATGTGCCCCTTGTGCTTACCAGAAACTTGAAGAACTTCCTTCCTTCCCCTCTCCCGTTTATGTTGTTGTTCTTGTTGTGTGCCTTCAAGTCATTTCCAACAGGACAACTTTTCCATTGAGTTTTCTGTGGTTTAGAGAGTAATGGGTTTTCATGACTGAGTGGGGATACATTACTGTACTCTGGAGGTGTAGTCCACCTCCACATCAGCTCCCTGATTTTGTGAGCTTTCATCTCCCCAAATAAACCTTTCTCAAACTCTGGATGGCTTTTGGTGCGCAATGGCAAAGTCAATATCCCCTGGGTGAGGTTCCATTGAAAATCCTTGTCTTTGCAATGTTCACACACACCAGTAAAACCCTACAAGGAGCTTTTGTTTGTTTGTTTGTTTGTTTGGATAATTGCAAGAGAACTCCCAAAAAGAATATAGCTGCCCAAAACAAGTGGTTTCCTTGGACCACTTTTTGGTTTTCCTAGCTCATGTTTTGGGTTCTGTAGACCACTTTTTGGTTTCTGTGGGTCGCTTTTTGGTTTCCTTGGCTCTAGTTGTTCCAGGGGGAATCCTTTGCTTTTGCAGCCAAGGTGGCTCAGCTGGACGACTGATACGGAGCATGCGAGTCTGTGCTTTCTTTCCTGGGCTTTGGCTAGTTGACTGCTTTGTCTCTCCCCACATGGGACGGCCACTTTCCTTGCTGCTCTCTGCAAAGTGGCTTAGTTAATTAACGCAAGCGAGGGCTGCAGCCGTGTGGAAAGGGATGGAATTAAAGGCCCAACCCGTGCGCAAGAGTGCAGCCAAAACGTGGGGCTCCCTCGTGGCAGAACGTGTTGTACTCTGATCCCTGGGCTGTGTGTTTTGGTTTGTCTTAGGGCTTGCCTTTCCCTCGTCTCCTTTCCTGGCTTAAGGGTAAAATTACACTCAGATGCAGGGAGGGAATAAAAAAAAATCAACTGTTCGGCTAAGGCTTCTCAAATACAATTTCCTTGGATTATTTTACTTCCACAAGATCAGAATCACCAGTGCTTGGGAAACCTGAGAGTTGTAGTGCCACAAGAGTGGGGCAATGCAAGATCCAAGGGTGCATTTACACTGCAGAATGAATGCAGTTTGACAGCACATCAATTGCCATGGCTGTATGCTATGTATGCCATGGATGTATGCTGCCATGGAAGTTGTAGTTTTTCAAGGTGTTTCTCTGCCAAAGAACATTGGTGCTTCACTAAACTACAACTCCCAGGATTCTCTAGCAGTGAGCCATGGCAGTCAAATTGGGATCAAACTGCATTTTTCCTTCAGTGTACATGCAGCTTAAAAATACTGTTGCAAAGTAAATTGAAAATTGAGGCAACAGCCAGGATACAAAGAGTTGGAGCAACTACTTTTGTGAACTTTTTGTGTTGTGTTTGTTGAAACATCTCAAACCATTCTCTGCTTGTATAATAATTCTGAAATTGTTGATTTTGTGTTTGGTGCAACTCAAAAATTGGATTGTTGATAGGAGAAATACAACATGCTTTAATAGCCAGTGAAAGGAAGGGAGAACCAATGTTTCTATAGCAGGATTGGGTAAACTTCGGCACTTCAAGTGTTTTGGACTTCAGCTCCCACAATTCCTAACAGTCAGTAGGAGTTGAAGTCCAAAACACCTGGAGGAATTAAGTTTACCCATGCCAGCTCTATGGGATATTGGACTCCAACTCCCATTGTTCCCAGCCTGTAAGACCTGGGGATTGGGATGATGGGATTTCTAGGCCAACAGCTCCGTTTAGGGATCATTGTGTCGGTCACTTCTGTTTGCTATAAATTTGGGAACTCTCCCAAAAGATGTGAGCGAGAACAACTGTAATAGCAGCCAAGATGTATCTCCAAGTGCATTTGGAAGCCAGAGAAATACTCGATGGGCAAATTGTAAATACTTCTTCATTGGAATAGACTCAAGGAATGCCTCTGCAGTATCTTGCCAGGGGATTCTGGGAGTTAAGTGTCCAAGAAAGTGGATTGCCAAGCTCTGGGACCACTGGTTACGCTAGTTGGTACCACATCCAGTTCAATGTGCATTGGAATAGAAGGCTTGAGGTTGGTTTAATCCCTTTCTCACTCCATACCCAATCTAGTGGCTGATGGTATGGGGAAATGTAGTTCAAATAAAAAGTTGGAAGGCTACAATATGATCTAAGCTGATCTTCTAATGCAAATATCCCAGGCAAAATATCCATGGGAAGCCCCAGAATTTCCTGCAGCAAGGTGTGATTTTTAGCACTACCTTTGCAGGTACCTTACAAACATTTCTTTTCTGTTTGCCTGCATTTCACTCAAGATTCACAATCCAAAACCTTGCGAATTGTTACTTACAGCTATGTTTTTCTCCTTTCTCTTTTGCCCCCCAGTTATATGAAAAGCCCTCTGTAACCATGACTGGAGTATTAAAAAGAAAATATGAAGAACTGGAAGACGACGCTCCCTATTCCTCCTCGTCTTCCTGCTCTCCTTTTTCCTCCTCCGCATCTTCAGCTTCTTCCGGATGGGAATCCGACGAGGAAAGCTCCCGAGGAGGTGGCATCAAATCCCGTTTGGCCTTAAGTTCTGACTTCACCCGTAAGTATTAATTTATGTACAGGATGGGCATACCAAATCTGAAATTGTCCATACGGGTGGTTTATTTTACATTATGCCACATAATGCAGTTCCAAACTGCATTATATGGCAGTGTAGATCCAGCCCAAGCAGCCCAGGGAATTCACTTCATATAAGGATGATTAATTGGAACTGAAGGGTAATGATGGTATGTTTTGGAAAATGCTTCCATTATTGGCTGGAATACATCGCATCTTAATCCAAGTTCAATGATTTTTAATATATTTTTGTTTGTTTACATTCTTCTAAAATGAGCAATTACATACAGACAAATTATCTTGAGACACACACAGTTAACAAACAAACGAGCTGATTGAATGCAAGTGGAATCCAGTTATGGATAATTCCGGCTTATTCAGCAAAACTATCCAGCCTCCTAAATTAACATTTCTCTAACTGTGCTCCGCTGAGGTCTTTTTCCTCCGTTTCCCGTCTTCGGCAGACGTGAGCTACACCTACGTCCCGCAGAAATGCCATCTGCTCGCCTTCTAACGAAGGGCAAGAGTTTTTGTCGATAAATCTTCCTTGGGACCGCTGGGAATATTTGGTTTCTGAGGTCCACTTAGGAGACCATTAGCAAACCTGCCGCCCCGTCTCCAAATGCTTTGGGAAGTCGCGCAATGACAAAGGCGCCTTTCTTTTTGTGTTCTGGCTTTTGTGCGGCAACAATGACCTTTCTGTGTTCCTTGCCTTGATTTGAAAAAGGAAAAGAAAAAGGAAAAAAATGCATTTTGGAGGAAGAGGAATGACTGCAAATATTTAAACGTAACAACAGCAATAGTTATCATACATATCCTGATCGCTTTCCATTCTCCCTGGATCATGAACACAAACACATAGATGTATATACATACAATAGACTTTGAATTAACTGGCACCCATGGGGATTGGTAGATGCCTTCTGGTTGCTTGAGAGTTGCTAATAGTATGCCTCCTACAATACCATCCCATCAGCTCTGTATTGACTTGATATTCATATTGAAATACAGTCATTAAAAGCCAATTAAGACCAATAAAGACAAACTTAATGTAACACAGTTTCATTGTATTATGAAAACAGCTTTGTGAGTGCACTACACAATTTTAGTTAAATGACTGTTAAAATTGATTTTGATTTAAAGTATTCCTTTGAAGCTTTTGCCAGTTGCTTGAGAGTTCTGGTTGCTTGAGTTCTGGCTTACTGAGAATCTACTACACTTACTTACTTAGGCGATCCCTCGTAGTCCGAGGATGATGGTCCTCCCAAGTGTTGTGTCTTGGTGGTGGGTCCGTAGATGGCTATGGAGCCCTATTCTTGATCCACATGTTCTCCTGCAGTGAGGACATCGCTTTTGAGGTGGAAGGCAGTCACAGTCAGAATTGGCATGATGCACCTTCCTCTTAGCATGTTTCTCCCTTTTGCCCGCCATTCATGCCTCTTTGAATTCTGCAGCACTGCTGGTCACAGCTGGCCTCCACCTAGAGTGCTCAAGGGCCAGGACTTCCCAGTTCTTCATGTCTATGCCATAGTTTTTAAGGTTGACTTTAAGCCCACCTTTGAGTCTCTTTTCCTGTCCACCAACATTATGTTTCCCGTTCTTGATTTGGGAGTATAGTAACTGCTTTGGGAGTCAGTGATTGGGCATTCAGACAACATGGCCAGTCCAGCAAAGTTAATGGCATAAGAGCACACACACACACCTATATATACATCAATGAGCAAACCCATTTGTTTGATGTGGAAAGTGATAAACCGAGTCACATATTTAGCCTCCTTAACTGAGCCTTAACTTTGCAGAAGCCTTTTTGTGACTGCAGTGGTCACTGTTTTTGGCAACCACTGCTTCATGACATAACTGACAAAATCACAATGCAAGAACTACATGAAAGAAAGACCCCAAGTAAAACTTTCCCGAGCCAAATTGGATTCGTTTGGATTTCTAGAAACTATTTATCCAATCTCCATGGGTGCCATATTATTATTATTATTATTATTATTATTATTATTATTATTATTATTATTATTATTATTATTATTTACAGAACAAGATGAGACCACAGCATTACATTTCCTTTTCTTGATTTGGGAGCATAGTAACTGCTTTGGGAGATGGTGATTGGGCATTTGGACAGTGTAGCTGGCTGTTATATTGGATCACACGTTGGACACTTCCCAAGTGTCTAGGACTGTGTGGTGTATCGGCAAATAATGCGTGCAGATCCCAGTAAGATGGCCTTTTGCAGCTGGCAGATGGTAATTTTGTCAGCGCCAATTGTGTTTAAGTGCAGGCCAAGGTCTTTAGGCAATGCACCCAGTGTGCCAATCACCAGTGGGACCACCTTTACTGGCTTGCGCAAGAGTCGTTGTCATTATTATTATTATTATTATTATTATTATTATTATTATTATTATTAACACAAGGTGAGACCACAGCATTACGTTTCCTTTTCTTGATTTGGGAGTATAGTAACTGCTTTGGGAGTTGGTGATTGGGAGTCAGTGATTGGGCATTAGCTGGCTGTTGTATTGGATCACACATCGGACACTTCCCAAGTGTCTAGGACTGTGTGATGTCTCGTCAAATAATACATGCAGATCTCAGTAAGGTGGCCTTTTGCAGTTGGCAGATGGTAATTTTGTCAGCGCCAATTGTGTTTAAGTGCAGGCCAAGGTCTTTAGGCAATGCACCCAATGTGCCAATCACCACTGGGACCACTTTTACTGGCTTGTGCAAGAGTCATTGTCATTATTATTATTATTATTATTATTATTATTATTATTATTATTATTAATTCTCTTATCTTTTAATTGAGATATGAACTGAAAGTCTGCTATGCCTTTGATTTTTCTTTTATGCAAACCCACTTCGTTTTTGATACAGAAGTTGCCAAGAAGTAAATACATCCATATTTGGGGGGAACAAGGGATTAAGCGGGAAGATGTTCCTGCAGCTTGAATCTTGCAGGCCTTGCATTTGAGCTCAGCTTTGGATCAGTGCTATTGCTGATAACTGATTTTTTGGTTTGTTGGAAGGATCAAGGTTAGCAGCGTACCATCTTTGGCTGAGCTTGCCATCTTCGCCTGAGCAAACCGCCTTTGTAGAAGGAGGGGAGGTTGGAAACTGGTCACTATAGATACTGCATTTTTAATCCTGGGCTTGCGGATTCCTTAGCAGCTGTTGAGCCTCATTCCTCTCCCCGGAGAGAGGCATGGGCCTCATTATTTAATATAAGGAAGAGTTGTGCCAATTTTAAGTAAATGGATTCCAGATCGATCTGGCTCAACCGGCACAAACGTGTCTCATGGATGCACTCAGATTGCTTTGACCCCTGCGTATCTCTGTTTAATTGAATTTCTGTAAATTGCTATCTTAAGCTAAATGGCTGGAAGCTGAGAGTGTGCCATTATTCATTGTAAGGGAGTGGGGTGCGATTTCTCAGTGGTTTTTTTGCCGAATTGTGGGACCCACTTTGGCGGTTTGGGAGAGCGGCGACGGGCATTTTTATGTCCGTGCCTAATTGAAATAAATAGTTCGGAACAGAGGGACACGTCCTGTGAGCGGCAGAGTTTGCAGCCTGTCTGCATATTTCGGCGACATGCGGTTCATTTGCATGTGATTTGCATAACCACAGCAGGTGTCAGCCCACAGCTGGTGGGCATGCTGGGATTGCGTTGCGATTGTTGTGGAATTCAAAGCCCCAAGATAGGGGCGCGGAGGGGGAGGCACAACCCAAATGGCTGAAATGTGGGGCACGCTGAGTCCGCTTTGGAGTTCGGTTTTACAATTTGTTGCGACTGGGTACTTTTCCATTCTTATTTATGTCTTACTAACTTGGATACCCGGCGGTGCCCAGGTTATTTGAAAAAGGTATGGTTTGTTTTGAGAGTTTAGATAATATCATTTAGTTAATTAGTAACACTATCTATTAGGAAAAAGCTAGAATTTCATTTTTATAATGATGTGGGTGAACTACAATTCCCAAAATTGTGGATTATTCCTCTCCAAACCAGGCCTGTATTCACAGTTAGCATGTTGGTCAGTGTGCCAAGTTTGGTCCAGATCTGTCGTCGACTGGGTTTAGTACTCTCTGGATAAGGGTGAACTACAGCTCTCAGATTCCCAGGACAATCACCCCCAAAGCCAGCCAGTATTTAAAGTTGGTCATGTTGGGTCTGCGTGCCAAGTGTGGACCAGATCAGTTGTCAGCTGGGTTGAGTACTCTTGGGATGCAGGTGAACTACACATCCCAAAATCAAGGTCATTTTCCCCAAACCCCTGCAGTATGTTCACTTGGACATGGAGCTTCTCTGTGCCAAGTTTGGTCCCGGTCCATTCTTGGACCCTCTGTTTAGTTACTGATCAATTCCTCTGTGTTTGCTATGTGCCATAGGAAAGGGTAAGAAAAGGTGAAGGGAGAGGCAGTGGGCAGCATCATGCAAATTCCAAACAAGGAACCCTGGGAAGACTGCCTGTGAAGGAGGAAACACATCAAATCTAGGATGCAATTGTCCCTGAAGGAAAGCATTCCTTGAGTGGGTGGGCTGTAATGTTTAGGGAGGACATTGGCAGGGTTTGGGCTACATGGTCATGATGCTTGCTATAACCTGCAATGTCAGTAGAGGGAGTGCCTTTGGAGGCTTCTCAGCACTTGGAACCATAGCCTGTTTGTGTGGGTGGGAGGCTGTTTAAGTGGACACCTCTGCCACATAAGCACATTTTTATGTGTATAGATATATATAGTGGTTTGAGCATTCTGCTATGAGACGGGAGTTAGAGTTCCTGCTCAGCTATGGAAACACGGTAGGTAACCATGGGCAAGTCACATTCTCTCAGCCTCACAAAGGCCATGAGCAAATCTTGCCAAGAGTTGTCATAGGGGTGCCTTAGATTGGAAATTGACATGAAGGTGCACCAGTAGCTTTCCTCCAGTGAACCCAAAATGGAGCACATGGCCTTCATGTTTCCTACTTTGTATGATCACAAGAATACTGTGTAGTAGGTCAGACAGAGAGAGCACGCCAGAAGCCTAATGTCACTCATTGAGCACTGAAGTCACCCATCGAGCTCTTCATAGTACTGTTAGGGCTGAAAACTAAGTTCTGTGTCTGAGTTAACAATCTGCCTGGCTTTTCTCAAACTTTTTAAGTTGGAGGAAAACTAGAAATAATTTTGAGGTCTCTGGGAATCCCCACATAAAACGTAATGTACGCGAATAAATTCATGGACAGAGGGATGATCTGAACTTGGCTCCTCGTGGCTTTCCATTTGTGCAATTAGCTGTCCTCCATCCTGCAAAATTCCCCTCCTCAAATTGCCGAGTGGCTGGATCAAAACTGTAGAATTAATGCCGTTTGACACCACGTTTCACTGCTAAGATTTAGTGTTGTTGTGGGTTAAACCCCTGTGCCGGCAGGACTGAAGACCGACAGGTCGCAGGTTCGAATCCGGGGAGAGGCAGATGAGCTCCCTCTATCAGCTCCAGCTCCTCATGCGGAGACATGAGAGAAGCCTCCCACAAGGATGATAAAAACATCAATTCATCCGGGCGTCCCCTGGGCAACGTCCTGGCAGACAGCCAGTTCTCTCACACCAGAAGCAACTTTCTGTTTCTGAAGTCGCTCCTGACACACACACAAAAAAACATGAATTGTAGTTCTGCAAGATCTGTTGCCTTCTCTGCCAATGAGTGTGAGTGCTTCACAACACTACATTTCCCAGGATTCAGCAGCCATAGAATCATAGAATCAAAGAGTTGGAAGAGACCTCATGGGCCATCCAGTCCAACCCCCTGCCAAGAAGCAGGAATATTGCATTCAAATCACCCCTGACAGATGGCCATCCAGCCTCTGTTTAAAAGCTTCCAAAGAAGGAGCCTCCACCACACTCCGGGGCAGAGAGTTCCACTGCTGAACAGCTCTCACAGTCAGGAAGTTCTTCCTCATGTTCAGATGGAATCTCCTCTCTTGTAGTTTGAAGCCATTGTTCCGCGTCCTAGTCTCCAAGGAAGCAGAAAACAAGCTTGCTCCCTCCTCCCTCTGGCTTCCTCTCACATATTTATACATGGCTATCATAAAACCTAATGTACTTAAAGCCATGATACTTAAAGTAGTGTGAAACTGCTTTCATTCGATAGTGTAGCTGCATCTTGGGTGAGTTATGAGCCAAAGTATTTTTTCCTCCCGGCTTTCCATTTGCGCACTTAGCTATTTACCTTTTTTCCTTCCTGCAAAGCACTGCTCTCTGTCGCCAAGCAGTTTCTTGTCTGAATTACTTCTCATTTTTGGCAAGCTACTCTCAACCCTCCCTGGACCATTGTGCCGGCTGCTTTCGCTATTCCCAGCGTATGCATCTTTTTAAAAGTCTCTCTTTCTGAATTTGCATCAGCCCAGGGAGGAAACACCTGATTGTTGCCTGGCAAGGTTAAATGCTAAACTTTTCTAAAATGCATCGAACTCTTGCTTTTTTTTTTTGCAGGCGAGGGCTTTTAAGATCAACCCCAGTCGTGTTTACACTGGGATCACCTGCATAAAGATTAACTGCTGTGCAGCTGCTCTCAAATTAGCCCCTTGAGATTAGGCTATAGATTTACAGTTCCTCCCAGCGGAGAGCAAAGGAAATGTCATCAAAGCAGCTGTTTTGATGGTTTCTATCTCTTGCAAGCTCTCTCTTTCTCTGTCTCCCTTGTTTGCTCCTTCCTGCAGGCTCCGGCAGCTAAACTGTTTGGGTGTCTGTGTTTCTTTTCTTTCTTTCTGTGATATATATATATATATATATATATATATATATATATATGACTGCTGCGGCCTCTCCAAGGCTCCTGGCTGACAGGACACAGATGGCGCGCTTAGGTGGTTAAAGTAACATGCGATGAATATTTCATGTCTCTGGTTGCTGCTGTCGGGAGGACAAATTTCCTTGAGAAAGAAATCGCAAGCACAGCAGCAACGACAACAATAACCGCTACCTTGTGGGATTGCTTGCGAAGGCTGCTCGGTGTGTGAGCGAGCAAAACTGTGCCGAAATCCATGCCACCGCAGAGCGTGTGCTATGGCCCTTTGGGACTGTTAGTGCTCTGAAAATGCATGGGATCTGTCGAATCATTGTGGCCAAAAACGTGAGTGGAAATGTCTCCCGAGTGAGGCCTCACCTGATCAGTCGACTGTTGTGCTGTTCTAATTTTAGAGTTTTTTAATACTGGTAGCCAGATTTTGTTCATTTTCATGGTTTCCTTCTTTGTTCATTTCTGAACAACAACAGGGAGGAAACAAACAAGGACATCTAATCACCTCTCAACAAAAGATTGCTCCAGGCACTGCCAGGCAATCAAATGCTAATCAAGGTGGTCAGTTGAAACATTCACACCTAGCTCCAGCAGACAAGAGTCCTTTGTCTCACCCTGGTCATTCCATAGATATATAAATCCTTTTTCCTAGTTCCAACAGACCTCACTACCTCTGAGGATGCTTGCCATAGATGCAGGCGAAACGTCAGGAGAAATGCCTCTAGAACATGACCATATAGCCTGAAAAAACCTACAACAACCCAGTGATTCTGGCCATGAAAGCCTTCGACAATACATAAAGCAGTAGCTATTGATCTATTGCCATTTGCATGTTTTTGAACTGCTAGTTTGGCAGAAGCTGGGGCTAACAACAGGAACTCACCCTGCTCCCCAGATTTGAACTGCCAACCTTTCGGTCAGCAAGTTCAGGAGCTCAGTGGTTTAAACTGCCGAACCACCTTGGGCTCCTATGATATAGTGGTTAGCATGTAATAGTAATTTCAAGCAGATGCAAATCTGAAAGGTCACTGGGTGTTTTTGGTCTCTCGTTATCACATAGCTACTGCGCAAGGAGGTTGTGTGGATAACATGGGAGATCTTAGCGAACTCTTTGAAAGATAGGAAGGACAACACATGAGGATAATTTACCAGGATGTTTTGAATGTTTTCAGAAACATGAATCACAAATTAGGGAAGCGAATGTAAATGAGCTCACTGGATACCTTTGGTTGCGGAGTTGAGGCTTGCTTTGGCTTCCTGTTTTCCTTTTGACATGGCACATGACACTGCCAATATCGTACAAAAAGAGCCCCTTTTCTTGCCAACGCGTTGTGCAATATAAACAAACAAACACACAAACAAAATGTTCCTTTCTTTGCCATCATTTGTCATTTCTCTTTAAAAAGGGAGCAACAAATTGCAACTGTGTCATATTTTCTTGCTACAATCATAATTACAGAGCACACGTGACGGCAGTCATCTCTCCGTGGGCGTTTCCTGTGGCTAATTTTTGCTGCCTTCCTGCAAATCCTGATTTTTCTCTTGGTTTCTTGTAACAGTTGAGTTTCTGTATCTCACGGATATGGAATGGCAGCTTTAATAACTCATTTCCTGACACAAATCACATACTCTGTAGCAACAAGGATGCAAAAGAGCCAGCATCCTATGTATTAGACTAGGGTTGCATCTACACCATCGTTTCTCAACCTGGGGCTCGGGACTCCTTGGGGGGTTGTTAGGGGGTTTCAGAGGGGTCACCAAAGACCATCAGAAAGCATATATTTCTGATGGTCTTAGGAACCCCTTTGGCAGAGAAGGCTGAAGATCTCTCAGACTGTCCTCTTGCTTTTTGGAAACAAGATGGCAAATCCTCCCACCAAAAGCCGTCCTCTGCTGTGATTGGCTGGCCTCTTAGCCAAGAGGAGGGTTGTTTCTGAAACTCCCAAGTGGGGAGGGGAGAGCAGGCATGCTCAGAGCATGGCAGTGTGGTGCACATGTGTGGTCGAGGGAGAGCCTCACCAGGGAGGCTCACACCAGCAAGTCCCTTCAAGGCGTGGAGGTTCTGTGTGGGAAGTTTGGCCCAATTCTCTTGTTGGTGGGGTTCATAATGCTCTTTGATTGTAAATGCACTATAAAGCCCAGCAACTACAACTCCCAAATATCAAGGTCTATTTTCTCCAAACTTCAGATATGGACCAATGATAGATGTGGTCCATATCTATCATTGTTTGAGTCCACAGTGCTCTCTAGGTGTAGGTGAACTACAATTCCAAAACTAATGACAATGCCAACCAAACCCTTAAAAGTATTTTCTGTTGGTCATGGGAGTTCTGTCTGCCGATTTTGTTTCAATTCTATTGTTGGTGCGGTTCAGAATGCCTTTTGATTATAGGTGCGCTATCAATCCCAGCAACTACAACTCCCAAATATCACGATCTATTTCCCCCAAATTTCAGCCGTGTTCACATTTGTGCATATTGAGTATTGGTGCCAAATTTGGTCCAGATCTATCATTATTTGAGTCCACAGTGCTCTCTGGATGCAAGTGAACTATAACTCCAAAACTCAAGGTTAATGCCCACCAAACCCTTCCAATATTTTCTGTTGGTCATGGGAGTTCTGTGTGCCAAGTTTGTTTCAATTCTATTGGTGGTGGAGTTCAGAATGCTCTTTGAGTGTAGGTGAACTATACTCCCGAATGGCAAAATCAGGCACCAACTCCACCAGTATTAAAATTTGGATGTATTGGGTATTTGTGACAATTTTGGTCCCATGATTTAAAATACATTTTGCGTATCAGATATTTGCATTACAATTTATAACAGTAGCAAAATTACTGTTATGAAGTAGCAACAAAAATAATTTTATGGTTAAGGGGTCACCACAACGTGAGGAACTGCATCAAGGGGTTGCAACATTAGGAAGGTTGAGAAAAACTGATCTATACTATGGAATTAATGCAGTTTGACTCCGCTTTAACTGCCATGGCTCAGTGCTATGGAATCCGGGTATTTTTAGTTTTTCCAGGTCAACGTGAAGGCACGTAACAAAGTCTAATCTTCTCTCCCCCTTTTCTGTCTCCAGCGACGTCCATCCTGAAGAAAAGCAAGCGGCTAAAACGGAACAACGTGGAGTTTGACCGGGTGACTGTCTTCTACTTCCCTCGCTGCCAGGGCTTCACCAGTGTGCCTAGCCGCGGGGGCTGCACCCTGGGCATGGTCAGCAGGCACGGCTTCTCCCGGGAGTTCACGCTGGCTGAGTTTTCCAAGGAACAGGAGGCGGTGCGGCGAGAGAAGCTGAAGGAGCGCTTGAAAGAGGAGAAACTGGAAGCCTTGAAGTGGAAGGTGAGCCTCCGAGACAATCTCATCTATTCAGCTTTCTAAGGGTCAAACAGATCAAGCAGTATAAAGCTGGTTTGATAGCCTAGACCAGGCATGGGCAAACTTTGGCCTTCCAGGTGTTTTGGACTTCAACTCCCACAATTCCTTACAGCCAGTAGGCTGTTAGGAATTGTGGGAGTTGGAGTCCAAAAAATCTGGAGGGCCAAAGTTTGCCCATTCCTGGTCTAGACGCTGGCTCACTCCTTCTTAAACTGTGGGTCCCAACCTCAAATGGGGTACCCTTATCTCAATGTCGAGGTAGTTATAATTAGCAACAATACAAAGTTTTCTGAATGCCATCTAGTGGCTGTTTTAGGCATTTACATGAATCTTAGCAAAAATATGCAGTGTTTACAACACGCAGAAAACGTTTCAGCGGTACTACATAAGAAGGAAAATTCAGCGTGTTTAGCAAGCCTTGCAAATGTCAATTTGTTTTCAGTGAATGTTTGATTTTTGTCCCTATTTTATATATCGGAGTCATGTAAAAGTTTCTCAGGTCAAAAGAGGTCACAAGTGGAAAAGTTTAAGAAGCCTTGCTCTTGAGGACACTAGGTTGGGGAAGGACCATCTGTTTATTTCTAGAACCCCCGGTTCTAGAATCAGACTGAAATTCATCCCAAACTGTTAAGGGAAGGACTGTCAGAAATATTAAACATTAACTGGGCATTTTTTATTACAAAAGTGTGAGTCAATCACTGAAAGAGTGAGTAGGCCAAAGCCTGTTAGAGTCAGTGGGCCAAAGATAGTGTTGCCCTGAGAAGTGTGAGGGTAAACCTCTGTGTGAGAGAAGCCTCATGTGAGAAACCTCCAGTGTGAAGGCTGCTGTGTGTAAAGCAACTATGTATTTGTTTATTTGTCTTATAGAATCATAGAATCAAAGAGTTGGAAGAGACCCCATGGGCCATCCAGTCCAACCCCCTGCCAAGAAGCAGGAATATTGCTTTCAAATCACCCCTGACAGATGGCCATCCAGCCTCTGTTTAAAAGCTTCCAAAGAAGGAGCCTCCACCACACTCTGGGGCAGAGAGTTCCACTGCTGAATGGCTCTCACAGTCAGGAAGTTCTTCCTCATGTTCAGATGGAAACTTTATTTTTGTAAATAGTGCAACCAACAAAGAAAAGCCTCCTAAGGAATATATAACATTTGTCAGCTGGAATGTGTCCAGAGGAGGGCGACTAAAATGATCAAGGGTCTGGAGAACAAGCCCTATGAAGAGCAGCTTAAGGAGCTGGGCATGTTTAGCCTGAAGAAGAGAAGGCTGAGAGGAGATATGATAGCTATGTATAAATATGTGAGAGGAAGCCACAGGGAGGAGGGAGCAAGCTTGTTTTCTTCTTCCTTGGAGACTAGGACGCGAAACAATGGCTTCAAACTACAAGAAAGGAGATTCCATCTGAACATGAGGAAGAACTTCCTGACTGTGAGAGCTGTTCAGCAGTGGAACTCTCTGCCCCGGAGTGTGGTTGAGGCTCCTTCTTTGGAAGCTTTTAAACAGAGGCTGGATGGCCATCTATCAGGGGTGATTTGAATGGCAGAATGGGGTTGGACTGGATGGCCCATGAGGTCTCTTCCAACTCTTTGATTCTATGATTCTATGTGTGCTTTTCTTCTTTTTATCACTTTGGGCTACTGGTAGTGGGTCACGCTGCTGTTGATAAGTTACTCTGCTGTACATTCATGAGGAGACTTTTTTGTTAATAAGCCCTCTTGCCCACAAGAACCATTCATACAACCTCCTCCAGTAGCAGCATCCACTGTTGTTGGCTGTGCCTCAACTAGAGTACTGAAGGCACCTGTATCAGAGAAACAGTGTGGGGGGTGGGGGTGGATGTTGTTGTTGTTATTATTATTATTATTATTATTCCTGTCTTCAATGAGACTTAAAGTGGTTTTGGCATTGGACTGTGACTCTAGGAGACCAGAATTGAAATCCCTACCCACTGGGTAACTTTTGTCAAGTCATGTTCTCTCAGCCTCAGAGGGAGGCAAAGTCAAACCTTTTCTGAACAAGTCTTGTCAAAGGGTCTCCACAGATGAGAAACAGCTTGAAGGCACTCAACAACAACAACAACCACCACCTCATGTCAAGGTAGTGAGTTCTCTGGTATATTCACTTCCTTTAGTTAACACTGCCTCTATGCCTTTTCCCGAAACAGCTCACCATGAACGGTACGAAAGAGTCCGAGGAGGCCAACCAGCTCACCACGGAAGACATCTCAGACGATGACATCGAAGCCAATGGCACTGAACTGGAGGACGGCTTTTTCCTCCAACCCTACCCGGCTAAGAAGAGGCGAGCTCTGCTCAAGGCCATGGGCGTCAAGAAGATCGACAAGGAGGAGAAGCGGGAGCTGCACAGCATCCGCCTCTCCCGGGAAGACTGTGGCTGCAACTGCCAGGAGTTCTGCGACCCGGAAACCTGCAGCTGCAGCTTGGCCGGCATCAAGTGTCAGGTGGGTGGCCTTTCCTTGAAGAGGGCTGCGAGGATCACAGCAGCGCAGGACATTCTCATTCTTTTGCAAAGGATCCCCAGTGCAGATTCTATCAGGCTTGAGTAGGAAGAGGCTGTTTGCATCCGGATAAGCCATGCATTTGAAACTGGCTACCTGATATTGCAGAGCTTCAAATTAGTGTGGCTAGACAAGAAATGCTCAGAGAAGTGTGCAAAAGAAAGCATGCTAGTGCTCTGTAGTTTGTGTAATCACCATCTGGGCCTCAAATTGGTTCCAGGATATCCTATAGGATCATCTCCACAGTGGAACTCCTTTTGCAATACTGGTTTGAGACTGACTTAAATGGTCAGTGCAGATGTGCTCTTTGTCTTAAGAATTATCACTGCAGCCATTACCAGGGCTTCCAAGGTAAACACTACTTTTTGCCAGAAGGCAAATGGTAATTTCTGCTGTCATGACTTGTCAACACAGCTGTTGGTTGTCCTTGCCAATCTGTTCCTTCTCTGGAGCTTTCAGCTTCATACTTAAATTGGCAATGCTGAACCTTCCTGTTAGCATATTGCTTAAGGCTACCCAATACGTCCATGGCGAAGCCAGCTCAAATCTGTACTACTCGTGGTTTGTTGCCTAGACCAGGTAATACTCTGGTCTTTCTCACTCCCGAGAACTTTATTATGGATCAGAGCTAACATCTGTAGTCCTGGTAAAACATGAAGCAGAAGGTTCAAGAGCAAAGCACATGCTAAACAAATTATATGGGTATTGTTTGACATTATTTAAAGCGGCGACAAAGTAGTGCAGCTGAAAGAAAAGATTCTCTTCTGTATCTAAGGGTCTGGGCAAGCCCTTTGTCTTTGGAAGTCACATAAGCATAGATGAGCAATAGCTTTCAAATTGACACAAATTGAGCTTCTATTTTTTCCTATGGGGACAGGTCCTCTGTTTGGTCCTCTGCTGGGTAGAAATGCATTTCAAATGCATGTGCAACATCAGCCTCTAGTGACTTGTAGCTAAGATGCAAAGAATTGAGCCAGTGGCATCCAGATTCATTTTTATAAACCAAATAGAAGGTAAATTTGACACAACTTCCTTTTTTGCCAACAGATGGATCACACTTCATTTCCTTGCGGTTGCACGAAAGACGGCTGCGGGAACACGGAAGGGCGAATTGAGTTCAACCAGGCTCGTGTTCAGACGCACTTCATTCACACTATCATGAAGCTGGAGCTGGAGAAGAACCAGCAAAGCAGCGAGAGAAGCCTTGAGCCCGAATCCCCATTCAGGGAGCGTCTCCATCCGTTTGGCTGTGCGGCAAGTAAGGCAGCGTTGGAGGAAAGGACCAAGCCTCTGATGCCCGCCTTCCAGTTCAACACCGATTTGGAGACCATCGGAGAGAACAGTTGCAGCAGTGACATGACTGACTCGTCCCTCTCATCCGGCCAGAGCGAGGATTTGGAAGAACCGTATGAAGCTGCTCCATCCGAAAAGTCGCAATCGGATGTCGATGACGACGGTTTGGCACGGATTCTCCATTTCAGTGATTCGGAGGATGATGGCACTACTTCTGGAGGATGCCAGGATAACTTGAGTTCTTTTCATCCGACCGGCTTCTTCAGCGTGGATGTGGAAAACCAGTGCGTCACTAATGTGGCTGAGAGGTTTGACGGCAACAGCGGATTGAGCCATTTGCCGCATCTCACCGAATGTTTGGACGAAAACGCCAACCAGGAGGCGAGCAGTTTGCTTGAGGCCTCCTCCTCCTCAGGAGCGCAGAGCAACGAGAGCCTCTCTTCCTCCGGGGAGCATGGCTCCAAAAACTACATGGACCTGAGCCTCTCCTGTGACTCTCTGGATTTTTTCCAGTCCTTCTCAGACTACAACTTGGGACCCCTTTATAACTCTTTGAAGGAATACGAGAACCTGGACAACTTTTCAGCCCTCCAGCTCCAGCTGCCAAATTTCCCCAGCTTGCCCCAGTCCGGGGATCAAAGCACCTGCTTTTTGGAGTCCCTCATCGGTTTATCCGAATCGGTCCCAGAAACCCCCGCACCTTTTACAGACAATCAGCTTCTAGAAGATGCCATTAAGTCATCCCTCATGGAGACAGTGAAGGTTTAATTTTATATGATGTGTTATGTGTTGAAAGAGTCAAGGGAAAGAAACTTTTGAGACCCACCGTGAATAAGGAATCCTTAAAAGAGAAGGAGATGCTACAAAAGGCTGAGGGCAAATGAATATTGTTCGTTTTGGGGAGGGAGGGGAGAGCAAAAAACAAACAAACTGCAGCTACAATCAGTTTTCTTTACAGCTCTGGCCTTTGGATGGCATTGGGAAGGAAAACAAGATACCTTTTGCAAAACACCAATTTACCTGCATTTTGTACAGGTGGGCAGGGAAAACTTTGTGAATATGTATTCCTTGCATTTTAACACTGTGGATGCTCCACAGGGCACCTTCTGCCAATGTTTTCATATGTTGGCAGACAATTTTTCTCGAGCTACTTTGAGAGCTTTCTCTATATATTTATTGTGAAAACGATTTGCAAAAGGGTTCTCTCTCACTTCAGACGTTTACAGGAAATACAACAAGAGGCCCATACACTATTAGAGGCACCATTTCCCTCCCCGTTCTATTTATTGCAAAATTCCACAGTTTATAATAGCCCCTGATGCTTGAACCAAGCACGGAATCTTATTTAAATTAATCATACCTCGGATGTATTATGTGTACAATCATATTTCTGCATAATATATCTGCCTTTATTTATTTGTTACCTTCGCATACCCGAGTCTCACTGGGGCTTGCTAAGGACCTGAAATGAAAGGAGGTTTTTTGGCACAACAGGCTTTAAGGCTGTGTCCTGGTTTTGTTCTGGTTTTTTTTCCTGTTAGGGAAAATATGAAGAAGGTGTTCCCTTTCGATGCAATCAAATGCCTTTTCTCGCCCAAACCCTTTGGAGTGAGAGGGACTGACACCAGTATTGTCTGAAGTCCCAACTCATTTCAGGGGGTCTACTCCAGGCATGGCATATGTCTGCCCTCCAGGTGTTTTGGACTTCAACTCCCACAATTCTTGGCCTCAGGCCCCTTCCTTTTCCCTCTCAGCCACTTAAGCGAGGCTTGAGGCCAGGAATTGCGGGAGTTGAAGTCCAAAACACCTAGAGGGCGGACATATGTCCATGCCTGGTCTACTCTTAAAGTGTCTTGAAGTCTGGATCTCATCCAGTGTCTTTTGAAAAAAGCCTTGTTTCTCCATGTCAAACATAACATTCTCTTTTACTCTCTTGGATTCCAAGTTTCGCCCTGGTCTCTTTGACCTTTCCTGGTGTTTATTAAACTGGTTTCAAACCAGCTTACTTCGCAATGTGGACACAGGGTAAAATGTAGTGTTGTACACAATTTGAAGAGTGCCTTCTTTTCACAGTGGCAACTCCTTTTGCTGCTTTTGCAATCTGGGTGCAGTGCAGTCAAAGGGCATTTGGAGGAAAGGGCACCAATTGGATCAATTTCTTTGTGGCTGGAAAGAGCATTTGAATTTTGGAAATGTGAGCATCAGTCACAGCAATAGTCCAAAAGGACCAGCCAACATCTACCAAGTTCCTGTGTTGTGCTAGCAGTGGTTCTCAACCTGTGGGTCCCTAGATGTTTTTGGCCTTCAACTCCCAGAAATCCGAACAGCTGGTAAACTGGCTGGGATTTCTGATAGTCATAGACCAAAACAGCTGAGGACACACAGGTTGAGAACCACTGCACTAAAGAAAGAGGTTGTATGTAGTGTTACTATTTAAACGAAAGGAAAAATCTCAATTTTCTTTTTCTTACCCTGTTATTCTTGCAGAAGAAGATTTGTATCTTTGTGAAGTCCATAATTCTGCTGTGGATAAAGTAATAATAATAATAATAATAATAATAATACCCTTAACTATTAAGAGAGAGAGAGAGAGTGAAAGAGAAAAGAAATAATATGAACTATTTAAAACAGAAAAAAGTGAAAATTGTGTTTGTAAATTATTTTCTAATTTATTTAATTTACTTAAGGATTTGGCCATGACTTCTCGATAGAATGGATCAAATGTACCCCAATGTATGGAAAGGGAGCATCACTTTGGGGAAGAGCCAAGTTTGCAAATCAGGAGGACTTTCTAGCCTTTGCAATAGGAAGTGCAAAAAAAATTATAATGCAAAACACTGTGCTTAATAAGACTTGGGGTGTTTGGGGTTGTCTCAGGAGGGAGAGTGGACATCAATGTGGAGGTGGACAACTACAAGTGCAATGCATGATAATACAGGGTCCAACTGTAATGTAGTTTGTGAAATGCAGTTTCCATTCATTTCTCTTACATGGGATCCACCTAGCAATAATTGTCTCCTAATGATCTAAAAGAGTCATGGGCAAACTTGAGCCCTCCAGGTGTTTTGGACTTCAACTCCCACAATTCCTAACAGCCGGTAGGCTGTTAGGAATTGTGGGAGTTGAAGTCCAAAACACCTGGAAGGCTGAAATTCGCGAATGCCTGATCTAAAGTCCCACATGTTTGAATGGAATGACACTGGTACAAAAGTGAGAACAATGCACCATTGAATTGGGACTTTGTTACAGGTGGTGCTCTTGTCCGACATCTGAATGGCACACCATTTGAAGTGCTCCTTTGATGTTTGGAAAGTGGAGAACACTTAAAACAAGACTTTGGTCAAACCTAGATATCTATGAACCTTTTACAAAGAAACCAACTAAGAAATTGAAAAAGAAAATACTGAAATTACATGGTTTTTATGTTATTGGAATATGAATGCACGCACACACACAGCAAAACCTCTGACTGGATATAATTTAGGGTCCTTTCAAAGGTACATCAATCTGTTTCCTGACTCTGTCTTGCTGTCTCTTGACTAGGTGTTTGTGATGGTTTAGAAGCCCTATTGTGTTAAATAATTCCAATTTTTCAAGTTGTGTTATCCCCACCTTCTCCTCCTTTGTTGATCATGGGCCGAGATTACACAAAATGTCTCAAGCTTGTAAGTAGGGACTGAAACCCCTTCGACCATCTGCAATTTATGGATAGTACTTGAATATATCCCACTAGAAAAGACTTCTTTAGGTACTGTGAGTACGCAAAAGGATCTTGGAAATCGAGAGAACAAAGTTGACGACATACGCTTTCATAGACTTTAAGGCTACTGCAAGTAGATGCAGGTCGTTTGTGAAAGTTTGCGCTACCATTCTCTCACAATCTCAAAGGTGCTACGAGATCCTTTTGCATACAGATACTCCACATTAACATCTCTGAACAATACTATTGAGTGCTTTCCATACAACGTATAAATTGCCCATAACTGTCCTGTAGTACGATACACTTGTCTAGTTTAATGTCCTCAGTGGCCCCATATACAACTTGGAGTAAATCGTGGCCTTCCAGATGGGAGAAAGCTATAGCCTCCATCATCCTTGGTTCTATTGCTGGGAATTTCAGTTCAAAAGAGACTTGTGTCAGCCCTGGAAGGAAGTCATAGGAAGGAGGGAGCAAGCTTGTTTTCTGCTGCCCTGGAGACTAGGATGCAATGGAACAATGGCTTCAAACTACAAGAGAGGAGATTCCATCTGAACATTAGGAAGAACTTCCTGACCTTGAGAGCTGTTCAGCAGTGGAACTCTCTGCCCTGGAGTGTGGTGGAGGCTCCTTTGGAGGCTTTTAAGCAGAGGCTGGATGGCCATCTGTGAGGGGTGCTTTGAATGCAATTTTCCTGCTTCTTGGCAGAATGGGGTTGGACTGGATGGCCCATGAGGTCTCTTCCAACTCTGATTCTATGATTCTATGGCCTGTTCCTTATTCTTATTACGTATAATTCTCCAGTCACATCATAGGAATAGCAGGATCAGAGAGACAGTCTTGGTTGGAATTGGTGAAAGGTGTGCTTTGAGTTAGAAGGACCTTGAGCAGAATCTCTGCAACATAGTATAGTAGAGTACTAGAAGTAATGTTCATAACGAGCAGAAACTTACATGTGGCAAACTAAGATCGCCTTCTATACCTTTGGATGGCACAGGATTGCAGTGTTAGAACTTGAGGTTCAAAAATATGTATTGAACTAAACGAAATACATTCTTGATAGACAATGTCTTGTAGCTAAATCTCATCTTCTAAAGGAGGCAAAAGGTAAAAAGGTCCATGCAGCTACATTTTGCCTAGAGAGAGGCAAAATATGACCTTACTGGAAGGAAGAAAAGGCAGAAGAGACTGGAAAAAGGCAAATGGCCACATGGCCATTCCAGGGCAATTAAACTTGAAAGAGGAAGTTTCCTCACATAATTCCAGTGCTACATCATCAAAGGGGGAGGAGACAATGGCAGGAAGTGAAGAGGAAAGACAAAGCCCTTTAGGGAAACATGCATTGGAATGTGGAGGGGGGGATCTCTCAGCCTTGTCCAGTGGTTCTCAACCTGTGGGTCCCCAGATGTTTTGGCCTTCAACTCCCAGAAATCCTAACATCTGGTAAACTGGCTTGGATTTCTGGGAGTTGTGGGCCAAAACACCTGGGGACCCACAGGTTGATAATCACTGGCCTAGTTCTATCTCGAGTCTAACTACTCATTGAGGACTGGAAACTTGACAGCACAAGAGACTTGTGCAGTCCAGGGATGAAATCCAACATCATGTCCAAAATATTTGAAAGGAATTCCATGGACATTGATTACAGGTACCAGGTGGAATTCTGAGTCTTGGCCTCAGAGACCAGCTATTGAACATCCTAAAACAAGGAATTCGGACCAAAGGTTGCAGGGACTAAACTCTGGGAGGTTTTGCTCTGTAATGCCCCCCTCTTCTTAATGCTTTCCACCCAAAAAAGGGATCTTCCACCCTATTAAAATAGGTTCCCAAAACTAAGAGGGGCTGTTTTTATCAATTACCATCAAAAGATGGGTCAGGATTTGTGTGTGTGTCTGTGTTTTCCATTATTATTGAATGTTTTCATCTACACAATTCCCATTGCTTAACAGTGGTTCTCAACTTGAGGGCCCCCAGGTGCTTTGGCCTACTACAACTCCCATAAATCCCAGCTGTTAGGATTTCTGGAAGGCCAAAACATCTGGGGACCCACAGGTTGAGAACCACTGGGTTAGAACAAGTCACTTTCTGGATTGTGATGGTTGGACCCCGAAATCATGCACTGCAGTTGTAGATGGATTCTGCTGGTTACGGATTGTTTTGCAAAGGATGGATGTTCCTCCCTCTCTTGAGATATATAATACCTGGCACTTTGACCTCTAGCGGTCTTAAAAACACCAACCTCACCCCGAGCCCTTCGGAAAGACTTTGCCCTACTACGTCTATGCAAAGACTGAACCTTTTGAATTGAAAGAGTCACAACATCTACAGAACAATGCGGCATCCAGTGCAAAAGGGTAATCCCACTAGGGGCAATTTTTTTGTAAAAGTATTTAACTTTAAATATATATATATATATATATCTCCCAATTTTAGTATTTAATTTGTGGGATCTTTTTTTTAAATCCTGCCTAAATTAAATAATTATTGCTTTAGGAGCTTTTTTGGTACTGTTTTGTAATTTTATTTTAATTTTTTTGGCACTAAAGCAACAATTGTCGGAACATTCCTCTCCTCCCCCCTCCCGTCAATAAATGGTGCATGCATATATATATGTATGTATGTATGTATATGTATATGTATGCACACCATTTTGAAATGAATGTTGGGAGATTGAGGGGTCAAACCCCTTCTGCCTTCATAGATTTCCCCCTCCTCTTTAATTTATTCACTTTAGTTGTGTGGGTGCCAACTTCCCTCTTTTCACACCTCAGGGTGCACTGATTGTAAATAGATATATATATATATATATCTCCTTTCTGTATCTTGTATAAAATGTTGCCTGTTCCAACCGTTTTATTTTATTTTTCTTTAAAAAGCAAAACAAAAAAGTCCTGGGTATTTATTTGATACGATCTGTACTTATCTAATGCATCGATTGAAACGCTTTGGTTTCAAGACTGCTTTACGTTTCTGCATCCTCTGTGTATATAATGTGCTTACATTGCTTCCAGGTACAAGTTGTTGTTTTTTTTAAGATGTGTTTCATTTTTACCTCTTCCATTTTCATTGATATTTAAAAACACAAACAAAAAAGAAGCATTATCTGCCTTTTGAGCTGCTGTCTCTCATTTCATCCAAGCAATATGAAGAAAATTTCATGACGCTTTCAAATAAAACAACTTTTTTGCTTTCGAAGAGCCGTCTTCTGTCCTATGTGGGGATCGAGGGTTTTAGGGTGGGGTGGGGAGGAAGCAATGGAACACAACTTAACATCTATATGCGACCACTTGCCCGACTGGTGCAAAGCTTTGGGCTCGAGTGCCACCAGTATGCTACAAGGCGTAGAGCTTTTTCGACCTATGCTCCAATTCTCTCCAATTCATTGCCTCCATACATTAGAGCAATGTCGGAGTTGCGACCTTTTGTAAAGGCACTCAAGACTTGGCTGTTTGGTTGTGCATTTAAGTAATCAGATCTAATTTGCCAAATAGTCACTGTTGAATGTTTTTTGTGTTGAATGTTTTTATATTGTGTAAATACTATTTTAGATTGTAAGTTGCTTGGAACACCTTGGTGGAGAGCGACTAATTAAGAAATAAAGTGAAGTGAAGTGAAGCTCCAACAGACAAGAGTTCTTTTTCCCACCCTGGCCCTTCCACAGATATATAAACCCAATTTTCCTAGTTTCCAACAAACCTCACAACCTCTGAGGATGCTTGCCACAGATGCAGGTGAAACGTCAGGAGAGAATGCTTCTAGAACATGGTCATACAGTCTGAAAAACCGACAAAAACTCACTGATTCCGGCCATTTATTTATTTATTTCGGGTACTTTTACCCCACCCTTCTCAACCCCCGAGGGGGGACTCGGGACGGCTTACAAAAGGCACAACTCGATGCCTATACAAAAATTATACATAGTGTACAAAACCATAGTTAATTATCACAGTTAAAACAATCATAACAATCAATATACATCACATCAAATAAAAACTGTTCACATGCTCACCATGAAAGCCTTGGACAATACAAATGCAACAAAACGTAAAATAAAATGTTGTCTAAGCAGTTTCACAAATATGACAACATTTTATATAATTCCGTCTTTGGAAAGGACACGAGAGAATTCAGAAGATTGAAATCCCATATGTTGACCTACTGGAAACTTGGTGGGTTTTTTTCCTCTTCACTTCAAAGGTCTCATTGGGAGGCGCATTGCAAAGCGATCTTTGCATTCACGAGGACTAGACATTTCACCAAGTTCAATGCTTTACACCAGAATTGTAAAATGCAACCCCGATGATCACCATCAGACTTCTCTTTCCATAATATCTTCTCACTTCAACCAGTTCCTTTTGCTTCTGCCTCATTGACCAGCATCTGGACCAGTGGTTTCTAACCTGTTTTCCATGGACTACCAGTGGTCCTCAAGAAATAAAATATGGTCCGTGGCTTCATCATTGCTACACTATTGCAACGAGATCGACTGGTATTGTCGAAGGCTTTCATGGCCAGAATCACTGGGTTGTTGTAGTTTTTTTCGGGCTATATGGCCATGGTCTAGAAGCATTCTCTCCTGACGTTTCGCCTGCATCTATGGCAAGCATCCTCAGAGTTTGTGAGGTCTCGCATCCTCAGAGCTACCATGCTTGCCATAGATGCAGGTGAAACATCAGGAGAGAATGCCTCTAGACCATGCCATATAGCCCAAAAAAACCTACAACAACCCAGAGATCGACTGGTCTTGCACAATCCTCTTATAGTGCCAAGGCAACGGGGATGTCAGGAGGGGAGAGGCTGACTACCTGCCAAAGGCGCAACAACAAGCCTCCTGACCGCTGCTTCTCCTCCTCCCTCCCCCTGAATGGAGCTGTTCCATGTGGCACCTGGAAGCGGGAATACCTTGTTGTCTTCATTTTTGGGCCTGTTCCTGGGGCTATTTGGGGTGCTGGTTCAGAAAATTCTTTTGAATAGACCACATAGGAAAAAGAATATTAAATATGGTTTTCTGTGGGTGAGCAGATGGTGACTACTGGATGGCATATGTTCTGTATCAGAAACTAGAGCTGATGTGGTCTATTCAATGCAATATTCTGAATCAGCACCCCAAATAACCAAACTGAATCTAAAGTTGACCAAAAACTGATTGTAACCCTTTTGGTACTAATGTTGGAGAGTGGTCCCTGGTCAAAGTGGTCCTTGGTCAAAGTGGTCCCTGGTCAAAGTGGTCCCTGGTCAAAGTGGTCCCTGGTC